CATGTACTAAGAATAAATACTGTCCTTGAAATTTCCCTTAAAATTCACGACACTGTTTTCTTTTAAATTTATTTTAAATTTACTGCCTTTTACGTAAAATGATTTGCCTTGTAGACAATGTTTTGTCCGGTGACCATTAGGTGACCATTAGTTAATGTTTGAAGTTGGAAGTTTAAGCAATGCCATTGTTTGTTCTCTGTTGTCTCAAATGCATTTCGTTTCCTAGATGCCTCTATTTATATAGTGTGATTTTTTTTCCCCATAAACGGTTTACACTTCATTCAATTTAATAATAAAGCATTAATACTATTTAGCTGGCAGGAGTTGAATATTTATTACAAATACATTAAAAAAACTCTCAAATGGAATGGGAGGATGAATACTGAATATCTTTGTTGACATACACAATTTTTATAGCAGAAAAGAGAAAGGAATTTATGTCTACCATATGTCTGTAAAATTGGTCCACATAACACAATACAACATAACATACACGGAACAGAGCTCCAACAAAAGAAAAGACTTGACCTCACAACCTTTTCTCCACATAATACAATGCCAAGCAAGTCTAAACACCAGAATATATATAGTGGGAAAAACATTTAGGAAAAGAATCAGTTGAAGAATGACATATTTAAAAATGGAATAAAAAAAGATAAAACACCTGCAACTAAGAAGCAAGGAAATTAGTTACTGTCAAAAACATATAAACATCTCAAATCAACTAATATAGAAATAAATCTTCAATAATCAGAGCAAAACCAACATTTGCTAATTTACTATTAATGAGTAGTAAATACATAGTATTAGTTCCCGGGAGATTTAAAGTGAAATAAGCAAAATAAAACGTTTGCAAGTAAGAAACAAAAAGACAATGACATCAAAATATATAAAGGAATGGTTCAGGTATTCATCTTTTTTTTGCTACCAATATGTATCAAAAGTAACTGGAATATGATTTAACATTGTATTTGGCTGCCAACTGAATTAGTGAAGTAGGTATATTAGAAAACAAAATAATAAAAAACAATGGACAGAAGGAAAAAAGTAGAAAATAAGAAACTTCTAAAGTTAAAACATAGTTAAATGATTATAACTCCCTGCCAAATAATAAACACCAAAGTAAATATAGTAAACGAAAACCTTAAGAGGAAAAATTAGTGAAAGCATGGAATGGTTCAAAGCAGAGGTAAGAAAATAAAACACCTCCAACTAAGAAGGTAAAAACTTGATTATTGTTAAAAAAACATAAATGCCTTAAACAAATGATATGAGAACAATCTTCAATAATCCGGGCAACATCAATAATTAGTAAATCACTATTAACAATTACTCAATACATGGCAACAGTTCTCGGGGTTTTTTTGCCCTTTTCTTTTGCCACCAACATGTATCAAAAATAACTGAATTATGATTCAACATTATCATTGGCTACCAGCTGGATTATTGAAAGAGTTGCACTAAATAACAGAGGAACAAATTTTAAAAACTGTGATAGTAAAAAAAAAAAAAAAACGTACAAAAAAAATCAGTCGAAGAATGAAATAGTTTAGAGTAGAATAAGGGGAACAAAATATTTGGAAGTAAGAAGTAAAAAACTTTCTTATTTTTCAAAAAACATAAACAACCTAAACGAAATAATATGAAGATAAATCTTCAATAATCCGGGCAACAGCAATACTTGCTAAATCACTTTCAACAATTACTCAGTACACGGCAACAACAAAGAGGGAAAACATCATCACTACCAGGGACCAACAGATTTATAATAGAGAAGTAGAAATGAAGTAGAAGAAGTAAGGAATAAATACCTTAGAACAATAACGAAAATAGATAGAGTTGATGCAGAAACAAGAAAAACACTTGAAAACAGAGATAACAAAAGGAACTCAGTATTGGAAATTAAAGAAAAGGAAGCAGAGAGAAAAGATAAACGATATGTATATGGAAATGAGGTAAAAAAAGTAAGAAATAAATAACTTAGAGGAATAAAGAAAGCGGATATAGTTGATGCAGAAGATTTAAAAACACTTGAAAACAAAGAGAATAGAACAGGAGAAAAAACGTCTCTAATGAAAATTGAAGAAAAGGAAGAAGACAGAGAAGGTAGACGATAAGTATATCACAACGAAAGCAGGAGCAAAGCAAATGACTATAAGCATGAAAGAGAGTACAATATATTTATACGAAGAAAATAAACGTATGAGTATATGGCGGTAGTAAATACTGGGAACAAAACTTAACAGAACCGCCATTACACTGCAAACAAAAGGTAATAATTTACTAAAAACAGGTGTTACACTGCATGATAAGTACTGTGGAACAGAGCGAGTAACCCGCAGACAGTCAAAACAACGTATCTCATTAGAAATACTTACCCTGCACTAAAAACAAATTTCTAAATATTCCCGACTAACATAACCTGCAAAAAAAAGGGTTAATAATTAGTAAAAATAAAAACGTAATTTAAAAAAAAGAGAAACAATTAAAGGATAACAATAACAAATAATACATCTGGAACTAAAATTACTAACAAATCTCTGGAAACCAAAAAAAGAATACAAATTATAATTTAAAACCTGCAGATAGTCAAAACAAAGTATCTCGTTAGAAACAATTACCTTGCACTAAAAACAAATGTCTAAATATTCCCGACTAATATAATCTGCAGAGAAAAGAGTTAATAATTAATAAAAATAGAACCTTAATTTAAAGGAAAAACAATTAAGAGATAACAATAACAAATAAAACATCTGGAACTAACTATACTAACAAATCTGGAAACGTTTTTAAAAAAAAACCAAATCATAATAAAAAATGAAGCTAAATGTATAGAAACCCTAACAGATATGAGAAGAAAAGAACATTTAAAAATTTTGGAAACTAAAGGGGAAAAATGAAAGAGGGAAAAAAAAACACCAAAAGATCTGAAAAGACGAAAACCAGAGAAAAAAAGAACAAAATCAAGTATAAGAAAACATAAACGAAGACAAAACTACAAAACCAAATGCAGATATCTGATCGCATAAACCTCAATAACAAATCTGAGGGAAAAAAAAACATTAACAGATCTAAAAAAAAGAGAATAAAAAACTAAAGGAAAAAACGAACCCAAGTCTACAAAAATACTAACAGCTCTAGAAAAGCAGGGCTAAAAAAAACTTAAAAACATAGAACATAACGAAGCAAAAGAACGCACATAACTGAGAAAATGAAAAAGAAAAACCGAATAAAAAAGGGGAGGAAAACGAAGCGAAATCTACAAAAACACTAACACATACGGAAAAATACACAGGGGCAAAAACGAATCTAAAAATCTTAAAAAAAAAATCCACCCAATCTAAAAAAAGAAAAACGGCAAACAAAACTACAAAACAAATCCAACATAAAAATTAATGCGCACATACCTTACGAACAGAAAGAACGGGGGAAGGAGGAAAAAATGCACCGAACATGCAACAAAGAGCAAAATGAACCCTACGAAAAGCCCAACCCATTTACGGAGGGAAAAATTGAAATTAACCCCACGAAAAACACAGGGAAACCCAGAAACATAGGGGAAAAAAAACCGAAGCCAAACCTACGGGAAAAAATGAGGAACAAAACTAAAAAAAAAAAAAAACCTAAAAAAGGATTCGCATAAACCTTACGCAAAGGAAAAAAAGGAAGAAGGGGGAAAAAATGCACAGAACATGCAAAAAAGGGAAAAAACCAAAATGAAACCCACCAAAAACGGAGGAAAAAATTGAAATTAACCCCACGAAAAACACAGGGAAACCCAGAAACATAGGGGAAAAAAAACCGAAGCCAAACCTACGGGAAAAAATGAGGAACAAAACTAAAAAAAAAAAAAAACCTAAAAAAGGATTCGCATAAACCTTACGCAAAGGAAAAAAAGGAAGAAGGGGGAAAAAATGCACAGAACATGCAAAAAAGGGAAAAAACCAAAATGAAACCCACCAAAAACCTAACCCATTTACGAAGGGAAAAAAAACTGAAACGAAGGCCACTAAACCTTACGCGAAGGAAAAAAGGAAGAAGCACAAACATAAAATGGAGAAAAAACTAAGAAAGAAAACACAATAAAGCAGAGGAAACCATACAGGAGATGAAGCGGATCTGTGAAGAGAAAATAAAGAATGAGAGCCTCGGTGAAAGAGAAATGCAGGCATCAAAGCAGAAATGAAAAAATGAAGAAGCTTCTAGAGGAAGCCAGACAAAGGGCACACGTGTTTTAGTAAATAGCAAGAGAGAGGAAAAGAGCAAACCAAAGAAAAAGACGAAAAACCCAAATAGAAACAAAGGGGAAAAAACCAAACAAAGGATAAAACGGTAAAACCACTTAAAAGGACACATACGGTATGAAAAAGACTTGAAACAGGAGTAAAATCAGAAATTCACTGTACTTAGTACAGTAACTTTCCGACCTCTTTTAGTAACAGGTATAATAGTCAAGGATGATTATCCTCAACATAGAATTGGATAAAGCCAAAGTCTCTTCTGGATAATGCAAGCAGAAGTATCTAAAAGTGGGTCCTTATTCTTAATTTGTTTTAACAAATATTCCTATCCCATCACAAAAGCAACAAAATTTCATTTAAAAAAAAACAAAAAAACAAAAAAAAATATATGAATGAAACAAGTTGCAAACCGTGGTTATATTGCCAATATCTTTTGTCATATTATTATATAAGTCCAAACTTTCATAATATAAAGCTCCTTAAGAAAGAAGAGTAGTAAGAAGCTAAGCTATGGAAGGGCATCAAGAGCTGCTCAAGAAGTCTAGGGTTGTCAAAGTGGACTCAAAGAAATCATGGGATTTTCTTGCAACTCAAGCAACCAATCAAGGCAGCCCTGTGAGTTCCTTCAGTTTTTTTTTTGTTTTTTTTTGTTTTTTTTTTCCTGTAATCCACTTATGAACACCATGTGTCCTTGAAAACATGAAAAACACAATTATATAAACAAAATTATGCATGCATGTGAATATCAGCTATTCTTCTGTCTAACCCACTTACGTGCACCGTGAGTAGTCCTTAGAAAACATGAAAAACACATTTATTTAAACATGATTATACAAATAAATATCTGATGTTACATCACTAGTGGAATCAAGCTCAAAATCATCTCATCATGTATTTTGGTCCCAACTGTTTCTGACACAGTTAAAGTGATATGAAAATGCAATTCTTTTTTTTTTTTTTTTTAAATAATCATTAGAATGAATTTAAGTAATCAATTTTTGTAAATTTTTTTTTTTCCTTTTTTCTGGTATGAATTTTAGGTAGTGGTGCACTTCACTGCATCTTGGTGCATGCCTTCGTTAGCCATGAATCCTATCTTTGAGGAACTGGCCTTGAGCTACCAAGATATTCTCTTTCTGTTGGTGGATGTTGATGAGCTTAAGGTACAAAGTTATGTTATTCATAATAATGTCCAGTCTAATAAAGTTATTATACAATTTTTTATTTCTTCAAGAACATTCTCTTTGGTCCAAAATGATGTCTCTGATGTTTTTGGATTTAATCATTTAATTATTATTTTATGATAAATCATTTTTTTTTTTCAAAGAGGGTGAGGTAGGGAGCAAAGAAGATATTGTAATTTATTTTCAGGAAATTAAAAAATATGGGAACTCTGCGCTGCTATAATCATTGTTTTATACTTCAGTATTCAAACTCTGACCTTGTGTCACATGACCTGTTTTGTCATATATATATATATATATATCATGCTATATACACAGCTTAGTGTAGTCCACAAAGGCACATTGCCCATAACAATTAAAAGTTAATTGATCTCAATAAATTAACCATGAATTATTACCTTTAATACCACTATCAAAAAGCTGTTATACTATAGGTTCTGGTTATGACCAATACATCTGCTGGACTCAGAAAAGCAAGTGGCATCTTTTGTAATGAAGTCATTTTCCTTGCAAGACTATTTTCGTCAGTGCTCATGGGTATCCAATATCATAATTTAGGCATCGTTTATTTCACCGATTCGAGTTTTCAGTTTTAAATTTCTACAGTTAAAAACTCTCAGAAAATATCACGTCTAACTTTTCTGTTACAGTGAAAAGCTATCAAAAAATGTCACATCGCAGCTTGAATTGAAAACTCAAATCTGCGAAGTGAACGAGGCCATAATATGTAATATTTTTATTGAGACATATCCATCAATCCCAAAAGAAGAAGGGATGTTGTTACTTCACTTTATCAATATGAACTTTTATTCTGATCCGTAAATTATGCGGTCTGCGTAACACGTTATAAATTTTTAATATGCACACTTACAAATCAAATTGTTGAAAAACTAATCCCCGGTTAAAATAATAGTTCTTACTGCTAGGGTTAAATAGTAATTCTCACTGTAAAATAAAATAATAAAAGTATTACTATATTTTACTTACTTTATATTATGTCATTATTTTAATTTGCTTAATGTGAATGTTCACAAAAGGTTGTAGCCTCCCAGATGGAGATAAAAGCCATGCCCACCTTCTTGTTGATGAAGGAAGGAACTACAGTTGATAAGCTTGTGGGTGCTAATCCAGATGAGATGAGGAAAAGGATTAGTGATTTTGTTTATTCTATTGGCTCAGACAAGACTAGTTGAATTAATGTTGTGATGTTGTCCCTTTTGTTATGTAATAAAACAGCCTTGGTTGTCAAAATTAAGTAAGACTTTGAGATTAATACCCCTTTTTTTTATGATTCTTGTTTATTGAACTTGTAAATGATGAAATATCTCTTGTTTGCTCTCAAAATTGAAGTTTGTAATTATTTGCTACAATTTGTTCTACAAAATGGTGTAAATAAAGATATTATTGTAAAATTTGTAATTTGGTGCACCGTAATAAGTTCAGTTTCATTGTTTGAGTATGACAAAAAAAAAAAAAAAGTTGGAATTAATTCCCTTTCTAAATTATGTGTTTTTTTTTTTTTTGGCACTATGATGCTTATATAACAACAACAATAAAGTTAGAGGGTTTATCTTCTGTCTTTTATCCATTGCATAAACTCATGCTAATTACAGAAAACTGAGGCCACAAATATCCTACCAACATTTTTCCATGTGCCTTTTCTCACCAATTGCCTCACGACACGTCAGCCTCTTTGGACTTCCAATTATCCATATGCCTTCAGGATAAAGAAAAGTTGAAAACCAAACTGATATGCAGCATATTAGTATGCAATTCAACATTTTGGACGGTTTCACTCCAGAATATTGAAAAGAGCTTTTTAAGACAATAGTATTGACAAGGTTTTTTTTTTTTTTTTTTTTTTTTTTTTTTTTTTTTTTTGGGTCCTACCAAGAGACTCCTCATTTCCTTTGAAATAACGGAAGATTTCAAGGAAAATTAATTATGTCGAGTGAAATTTCTAGGGAAAAATATTGTGTTTTGATAAAAAAAAAGAAGAAGAATATATAGTTGTTGAACAATGTGAGATTAACAACTATGTATTTAGTTTGACAGAAAGGCCGTCTTAAGTGTGACATGATATTTATTTTTTGAATAATAATAATACTGGAAAGATATAACAATAAGAAATTTGGGTAATATACAAATATACACTTCCATTAATGTAACGTATCACATGAACTTTCTGTAACATGATCAGGTGTGCAAAATCTTCCCGTGAGAAATCCTACAAATTTTAATACATAAAAGAAAATTGTTCAGAATATTTTCTTGACTATTAGAATACACTAAATTAGTACCAAATGTCAGACCCTAATATTTACTAGATTTGATTTTTGTTATAATTGTGCATTAAGAACGTGTGTGCTTATATATACACACAAATATAATTTTGATGTTATTTTTTTCTAAATAAAAAGAAGAGATCAGTGGTGTTTTCACGCTCTATTTAGCGTCTTAAAAAGAATTTATTGAAACCACAGGTGTGATGACGACAAGAAAAGTTAGTCCATGTTTTCATCTACCACAGACGTTTAGTTCATGGATTTAGAATCATGATTCAGAATTATTCTCGATTTACGTGTATTTTTTATGAGAGAAAATACTGTACTGAGTCACGAACCATGATCTAAACCATAGTCAAATCCTTGAACCAAACGCAAGAGGGTTTAACTAAGAGACATAATTACAGTTCATATTCAGAGGGTCTAACTAAGAGACATAATTACAGTCTCACTAGACAAGAAAAATCGGCTTCTAATTGATTAGCCACTCAAGGTATAAGTTCATAAAGGAGCAGTAAATTTTTTTTTTTTTTTTTTTTCAAGAGATATCCAAGTAGATGTCTCCGACAAAGGAATTAAGACACGTGCAAATTTAAAATAACGATATAGTTCGTTGATTCGAGTTTTTAATTCGAGTTGAGATGTGATTTTATATGAGAGCTTTTTACTGTAGTAAAAAAGTTAGATGTGATTATTTGTAAGAGCTTTTTACTGTAGCAAAACTCGAATTCCTAATTCAAATCAGTGAAATAAACGGGGCCTAGACAACGTAACAAAAAAAGTGTGAGCTCACTTGTGGGACCCCCTCTCTATGAGTTTATATATTTATTACGGAGGAGTTGAAAAAATAAATTTTCACAAGTTATAATATTTATAAATAAGTCTTAAAATAACTCCACCTATAACCATCTACACAAAAAGAATATATTAAAAATATTATTATCTTAATAACATTATTAAATTGAAGACAAATTAAGTGATCATTTTGTATAAATACTTCACTCTTTATTAATAGTTTTTACTCCACTTGTATCCTTCAACATTGTTGTTCAGAAATATATAAGAATGCCCCCTGGTGACAGAGGAGAAGCAAAAGTTTTAAGAGGAAGGCACATACAACTTTTTTTTTTTTTTTTTTTTTTTAAAGGGAGAGTCAAATTATAATGCTACTTTATAGACATGCCATGTGGTATTATTATTATTAATTTTTACAATTTTCTTATTTTTCTCAATATTATTTTGAAAAAAATTTAGTGACATGCTTCAATTTATATGGCTTCAAATTTATACCACAGTCTTCTTGTTGTTCCAATATATACACTGTTTTTTCTTTTTTAATCTTTGACTAGTTTATATTTGTAACACAATCCCAAAGCCTTTATATCCGTGGCATAAATCCGAAGGTAAGTTTAGAATTTATTTTTAAAAGTGCATAAGCCTAGATTTTTACTTCTTATTCTTGATAAATACCTTTATGTTAGTGTCATTATTTGACTAAAATGATTTTAAATAAGAGTAAAGGGTAAAAATCCTGACTCATGCATTTTTAAGGGGTATTTATCAAGATTACTCTTAGTTTTTTTGTGGCATTCTTAGAATTTCAGGTAATTTTAACAAATACATATTAAAATGGTACCATTAAAGATTTTTAAGTCTTAACATTGGCCTATTAAATTTTACCCTTTTAAAGTAAGTAATTTGATAGATTATTATTGATAATTTAAGAGCTGTTGCTGGCGGCGGGTCTCCGGTCACCAACGGTAGGCGTAATTTAATAAATTATTTAACATATTATTATTTAAAATTTATTAAATTATTATCTATAATTGGACAGATTATTGAGTAACCTATCACAATAAAAAAAAAGAGTAGAACTCTATTTGGATGTGTTTAAGGGTGAGTTTTTACAATTTTCTCTAAAATTTCACTTATGAGTCGTAGGCCCATGTTTGCCACCAAGGCCCAAAACTTAAAACGCAAAAAAAAAAAAAAAAAGGAAAAGCGTTTACCCAGGTGGTGGAACGATGACCACAGCACTTGCCACAAATTGCCCCCAATTCCCAAATCCCCTACCTCTCTCTTCGCAATTCTCACGCAGATTCCCCCTCTTTTTCTCTCCCAAGCCCCGTTTTCCCCACCTGTTTGGTTCCCGGGAAAATTCCACTTCCCCGCCGGGAAACTAAAGATCCAACTTTTTCCCGGCCGCGACCGCGTGAGAAATGGTCTCCCCGGAAAACACCAACTGGCTCTTCGATTATGGCCTCATCGACGACATCCCCGTCCCCGACGCCAATTTCTCCGTCTCCTCCTCCGGTTTCACCTGGCCCGTTCAGCCCCTCAACGGTTCCTCTGCCGTCAGGTAATTCCAATTCCTGAATTTCGTTTGTCTAGTCCGAGTTTGAAGTTAATCTGATTTACGGTTTTGTTTTTGTTTTTTTGGGAGTGGGTTTTTTTTTTTTTTTTTTTTGTATGCTTGTTCATGCTTCGTGATTTGTGTTCCCCAATTGCGGATTGAAGAAGTCCCTTTTAGCCTTGTCAGTTTTATGTGCTTTTTTCTAGGGCTCTACTGGTCAGATAATGTGTACTAGGACATAAGTTTCAGGTAATACCAATTAGGGAAGTTGAACTCTTATTATGTTTTCCCCAAATTTTTGGGTTTTTTTTTTCGTTTTTTTTGGTGGCGGTTATGAGACTGATTTACTAGGTATTCTGGTTCATGTGTTGTAATTTGTGCTGATTGAAGAAGCCCCTTTCAGCCTTGTATTTTTATGTTTATGGTTTGAAAGGTTTTGTAGAGAAATCTATGTGCTTTTAATAGGGCTCAATTGGTCCGATATGTGTAGTAGGACTCTACTTTTTAGGTGATACAATTAGGGGAGTTGTTTTTTATTGTTATTTTTAATTCTTTTTTCACCTAAGCTTTGGTGCTTTGTGCAATCTAAACTTGTTTAAGGTTTTTTGGGTTGCTTTGGTTTTAGGTATTTTGGTTTATGCGTTGGAATTTGTACTTCCCAATTGCTAATTGAAGTCCCTTTTGGCCTGGTATTTTTTGGTGATAGTTTGGAGATGATATGGGGAAATTGGAATTTGCTGTGATTGAAATGTGTCTTAGGACTCTGAAATTAAACCGGTTTTTGACTTAGCAGTCCATTATGGTTGGAAGCTCAAATTGGAAGTTGGAAGAACTTTATTGCTTAGTGTATACTTAGATGAATTATTATTAGTCCACCATGTTGATTGGGAAGGTGAGGTGTGAGTTATTGTTGGATCGTTGGTACTTGTACAACGGAGTTGTTAGTTCACTAGAAAATCAGTGTGGGCGTTTACAGAGAAGAGGAGCATCTTTATTGATAGATTTCCCTTATAGATAAATGTAGAAACTTTTATTTTTCCCCTTCCTTTTCTGATGGTTCATCTGGGGTTTTCTAATGCCATTATAAATCTCAATTCATTTTGTATCCATTGATGTAAGTAAAACTCAAGCAAGTACATCTTTTATCTATGTTGTCTATCAATCAAGTAATCTTCTATTTTTTTTGGTCGAATTGGATGGTTGCACTTGTACTTAATTTTGTTATTATTTTGTGATAGTTGCGAGATGTTCTAATGTTGCAATATATATATATATATAATTCTATTTCTAGTGCGGAGATTGATGGTTCCTTAGGAGATTCCGAAGGCCCTAAAGAATCTGGCTCAAAGAAGAGGTAAGTGTATTCTTCTTTTCCCGTTATATTTAATGAGAGGGCTTTGCCCCCCTGGTTATCTCACACGTTATCCTCTCTTTGACCTTCGGAAAGCTTAATGATTATACTCCCTCCTCATGATCTTGTCTTTCGTTATGCTGTGTGTAAAAAATGCTTCAAGATTGTATAAAGGCGCCACTCTGATGGCAGCAATGAATGATAGTTGTTATTGTAGTTTTTTTTTTTTTTTTTTTTTTTTTTTTTTTTTTTTTTTTTTTTTTCAATAGATAACCTGTATTAGAATTAGTCTTTTATTATTATTGTTATTATTATTATTTTTAAATTTTGGTTATGATTGCTTGTGAAGTTGGACATGAAAATTGTGAAATTGTATTGCCATGTTTATTTATTCATATTTTCTGGGCCAAAAACAAGAATATAGGCTGGGAACTTAACTGAAGTGTCTGTGTTTGTGATAGAAATGTTGTACTTTTATTCATTGATATTTAGCTTCAATCTCCAGCAAGTCTCTGGATCGTATTCTTGTGGTGTAATTTAGTAATTCAAAAGCCATTCAATTTTTTTTTTGTCTTTCTCATTTCCATCCTACAGGGTTAGATCTGAATCAAACGGTGCATCCAGCTCCAAGGCATGTAGGGAGAAGCAGCGGAGAGATAGGCTTAATGACAAGTACTTTTTTTCTTAATGTTTTTTCCATCTCTCTCATATACGAGTCAAATATCCTTTATGCTGAACCTAATTGACTATAGGTTTGTGGAATTGGGCTCTATATTGGAGCCTGGAAGGCCTCCCAAAACAGACAAGGCTGCTATTTTGATTGATGCTGTCCGAATGGTGAATCAGTTGCGTGGTGAAGCGCAGAAATTAAAGGACTCAAATTTGAGTCTCCAGGAGAAGATCAAGGAATTAAAGGCACGTGTTTATGAATTTCTTTATTTGAAAACGAATTTGACTCCTCTATACTTTATGTTGTTTCTTCTCCCCTGCAGTTCACTAGCTAAAACAAAAAAGAAAAGAAAAACCATGAACTGCTGATGGGGCGAGGGACAAGGCAATGTGCAGAACTGATTTTGTTTTCCCTCTCCTTCTTGTAGGTGGAAAAGAATGAGCTTCGCGATGAGAAGCAAAGGCTCAAGGGCGAGAAAGAAAAGTTGGAGCTGCAATTGAAGGGCATGAATGCTCAACCGGCAGGATTCTTGCCTCCGCCTGCAGCAATCCCTGCTGCATTTGCTGCTCAAGGTCAAGCTCCTGGCAACAAGTTGGTACCTTTCATTAGTTATCCCGGGGTTGCCATGTGGCAGTTCATGCCACCTGCTGCAGTGGATACCTCGCAGGATCATGTTCTCCGCCCACCAGTTGCCTAAGTTGACAGCATATAATGGTTTGGGCGATTTTCGGGTTTGTCCATCCTGAAAGAATTGTCAGTCAGTCGTCTCATTGTTCTTGACTCTTTGAAAGTTTATAATGTAGTCTTCTAAGTTCTAATTGAATTTGGTGGTAACTTAACTGTATCTGCGACCTGGGTACTTATTTATGAATTGGTGCTGGTATTTTCATGTAAATGGGAATAAGTTTAATCTGTCAACTTGTGTTTCAGCTTAAAATGATGTTATGCCCCTTGGCAGATGAGATTGCGAATGCTATAGGCATTTTTTTTTTTTAATTTCATTTTTTGGTTGAAATGATAGTTGGGATGTTAGACTTGGCATTTGTTGATATGCTTTAAGGGAGTTTTTCTATAGGACTTAAAAAAAATGTATTATTGATAATTTCCTATTTTAAGTTATTAGATTTGTATTAAAAACTGATTGTTTTGTGCAATTTTTTTCTCCTAAAAGCAGACATATTTTTTTTGTTGTTGTAATTTTAACTAGATTTAACAGTTAAAATTTAGAAATATGCGTATTAATAGGGAGGTCTTGTTAAAGAAACTTCCATCTAAAATTGGTTGGGCCTTTTTTTTTTTTTTTAAAACTCAAAGTATATATTATGGCGTCAGTGGTATAATGAATGCTTGACTGTGGCATTGACCGTAAAATTCTGATAGTTGGTTTACTGTTTGCAGGTCCTCTTCTTTTTTTTTTTTTTTCTTTTTTTTTTTTTTGGCTCAGACAAAGGAAGTGGCTTAGAAGTGGGACGTTATACGCTCATTTGGCAAGTAATTAAGGGTATTTTTTTTTTTTCACAATTCAAATTATAATTTAATTTTTTATTATAATATTTTTTTTTGTCGCAGTATTTTTTTTATAAAAATTTAAATTTAATTTTTTATTACGGTATTTTTCTTCACATAAAATTTGCTTTTAAATTCAATTTCTCAACTCATGTTGTGAAAAAAATATGTTCTAATTTATCTATATTAACCTGTCTCACTTTGACTCCCGAAATTACTTTTAAAGATTTACATCCCCATCCTTAAATAAAGGTCTAATTCCACATGATGGTTTTTAGGAGGATAAAATGATAAAAAAAAAATTTCAAAATTGAAAATACAAAAGAAAAAAAGATCTGAACTAGGCAGTTGCAATCTGTCAGCTGGTTTGGAAACTGACGTTTAAAGCCTTGAACATCTAATAGTGCAATGGGAATACATATCAAAGTAACATCTTGGAAAATCATTACACATTTCCGATATGTGAATGACATCACGAGTAACTGTCGTTGTTGGCACGCGTGAAAAAGTGACATGTTATTTAGAAAGGGCGTACGCGTGAATTATTAAAATTGTTATTATTTTTGAGAATTTTTTACTGTAGCAAAATTTAAATTTTAAACTCGAATCGGCGAAATGAATGTGATATGAATTGTAAAATGACAACTTTCAGCCAAAAAAAAAGTACTTCTTTCGGTAGGATAAAAAAAACTTGTAAAGTGGCACAAAAACCTAGAGATATAAGAATGGACCGGCCTATTCTCCTTAAGCTCACATGAGCTGTGGGTCGGGCCGGCCCAGTTCATGAATTTTGTGAGCTGAGTCAGGCCGGCCTGTATAAAAATTATTTCGGCCCAATACACATCACGGGTCAATTTTACGTGAGTCAGACTGGACCGTGCTATGAGCATTGAATTAGCTGACTCGTTCAAGACCCATCTTGACCCGTCATGAGTTTAGATGGGCTAGCCCATCTAAGCATGTAATTTTTTAATTTTTAAATTTTTAAACAAGGTAACAAATATAAAAATTTGAATAGCCAATGGAAATATAAAAAAAGATATTTTATTTACGATTGCCTCATTAAATAAAAACCTTTCTAAAGAAAATCTAGTGTGACAAAATCTTAGTAAAGAAAAAAGAGTACAATCAGGATAATTATACATAAGAAGTTTATAAAATTACTAAAAAAGGAAAAAATATGAAGATATTATGGGTCTAGGTGCTGGGCAGGGCGTGCCCATTATGGGCTTAGGTAGACCGGGCTGGGCTGGTCCATCATGACTGATGGGCCGGCCCAGTCCGGCCTGACCTACGATTTTTCATGAGCCGTGCCGAGCTGGCCTATGAGCCGATATATATTAGCTTAGATATTTATGGACTAGACCGTACTTTAAACAGTGACGAGCCGTGCCAGTCAAACCCGTCATTGTGTCAGGATGGACCCGAACCGGCTCACGGGCCCAATTTATTGTTGCATCTCTAGAAAAACCTGTAGAAACGGAATTTAGATTGCATAAACATTATCATGTGAATCGATCTGATAAATACATCACGGTGATATCAAGATTCATATGATGTGTCATCGTAGTTTGTGGATTTGACAAGAAAGTTTTAGTGAGATTTTTCTTGTCAAGAAAGGCAAAAAAAAAAAAAAAAAAAGAAGCGCGTGTCAGACTCTATGAAGAGATCTGCCAAGAAAATCTTATCTGTTTTATAATATCCTCTTGGTTGCTATTTGCGATCCATGAACATGCCTTAAAACACATTCACTAAAAAATGGCGTCCAATCTTCTCAAAATCAATATAAACACTTCTCAAACTTTAAATCCACAAATCCCATTTCCTTCAAATCATCACCATGTATCAACTTTTCTTCACAAACAGAAACAGAAGCAACAATGTATTCGTTTCTCCTTGTCTTCTTCTTCAACCCCACCAACCACAAAAGAAGCAGCCATTCTCCAAGCCAAGACCTGCCTCTCAACAAGCTTAGAGAAGCCCCTCAACAACGCCAAGCTCACCAACAAGCTCAAGAGGCTAAAACAGCCTAGATTTCGCCTCGAGATCCCGGTCTTCGATGATTCCCCGCAATCTCTCTCCCAATTAGCCCTTGACATCTTCAAAGAACTCCCCATCAAGAGAAAAGGATCTCCTGTGAACATCTTGATCGTTTGGCCTAATGATGTCTACAAAGAATCTGCCTTGAAAGTCTTCGAGTCTTTGCCTAATTGCCCGGTTGATCATGCCGACATTTCCTCGCTCTCTGATAGTGACACAAGAAGTTTGAGCTCTGCTGACGTGGCAGTGTTTTTGGCTCTTGAGACATCTCAATTGGAAGCCATGGAAGGTGTTTCGGAGAGATTGTATCCAAGGCCAGTGGTTTTGTTCAATCCGAGGTGGGGTTTTGAGGATGAGAGTGAATTTGGAGAGATGAGTGGCTTTGTGGGGTCCTTTGAAGTTCTCTATTCATTCACGGGGTTGGAGGTAAAAGGGGTTTTGAGCAAAAGGAAAGGAGTGATTTTCAAGTGTGTTAGAGATGGGGTTGTGAGTGGTGAGAAGTGGTCTGTCCTTGTTGAAGAAGAAGAAGGGGAATTGAAGGTGATTTCGACGTTTAAGGCGCGGCCTTCAATCGCGGAAGTCGAGAATGTTTTGTATAACTTGATGGCCATGAATTCGCCCGTTACCAAGTCTGTGAAGTTCTTTAAAGATTTGGTGTCCAATGTAACTGGAAAGAAGTAAGTGTTAGTTATTTAGTTATTGTATGGCTTTTAAGTTCAAGTTTTGTTAATGGTTTTCTATGTATGAGTATGACATAAGGTGCGAGAAAAAAATATTGATTTGCTTTCATATACGAGACAATGTTTTTTCTTTGGTTCATCTTGTTATACACTGATGATTATTACCTTTATATAGAGAATTTTGCATATCGACCTTGTAAACTTTTTCTTCATCTTGTTAAGTTGTGGTGTGCAACTTTCTTTTGTAAACTTCATCATCTTAGTGAATTACTGCAGCTAAAAATGGACGTAGTCTACCATTGAGGCAAAATTCTATTAAGTTTATGTGTTCGTTTTTTGCTTGATTTCTTTTGTGTTTTTTTTGCTCTCAGTAATGTAGAGCTAGGGCGTCTAATTTTTAACACACCTTAACAGGTTTGAGTGTGATTTTGCATCACTAATGCAGAGTATTAACAAGAGTTTTATTGCTTAAATAAACTTAATGGTTTTTGGAATATTCAACAACAGAAGAAATGAACTAAAATGGGCTAAAATAAGGGAACTCCAAAGAAGAAAAGAACCAGAGCCGTGGTGCTCTCTTTATCTTGCATTGAGGATCAAAGACCTTGACTTGGGGAAGAACTCTCTTTCTCATCCTCTTTTCCTTTTCTCATATACAACAAAGGAGTTAATTTCTCACCATTATGATCAAGGTATTCCTCTAAAAAACTCAGCCTAAGATGCTCTAATATGACAGCTCTTGATGAATTTATCGGAGAAATCGATGTATTTAGCCCACAATGGCCGGAGGTTTGGAAATGCTATGTCTAGCCAAGGCTTTGCTCTGCCATTGAAATGGATGACCCCGGCGCTCTCGGCATCAGCAAAAGTTGTGTTCTCCTGATAACCAAGTCCCAACATGTGCCAAAAGGGATCAATAACTTGAACATGGCCGTGGAATGCTATTAGGCCAGGGGGTAGTGTTCCAAGCTGCCATAAACTTAGGTCTGATTTCAAGTTCTGCAAGAGAAAATGAGAGAGTAAAAGGGTCAAAAGATTATATAGAAAACATCATCATAATGAATAAATTTTGCTGCATAATAGGGAAGCTCACTTGTTCAACCCAATGGTGGTATGTGTGGCTTATGTTGGTTTTCCTCCAAGCCTCGAGATCAAAGATGTTCATGCCATAAGCCCACGCGCATTCGTGAGGGTTGAAGTTCGCCGATATCAAAGGATGGGAGAAGTTCAAGTAGCTCTTGAGCCTCTTTGACATCACAAACTTGTCTTCTCCTCTACATGTTTCCACAGCTCCATTGACCTTCCCATTCAAATCGATCTCCCAAAGGGGCGACAGATCAGTTTGAACCACTATGTCGTCGTCCAAGAAGACTACCTTATTTAGGCTAGGGAACAACTGCATTAAGGAAATGATCAATTAAAGCAAAAGGAGAAGCTTTCCTTTAGGAAATTTATGGAGTAGAATTATGCTTCCAAAATGGTAAGTTAAACTACATTTTACCTCTGGTAGGTGTATTCTTATGTGGTTCATAACTGAGTTATATTTTGGACTAAGTGCCTGCAATTTTGCTGCAATAACATAAGGCTTCTCTGTCTCATTTGCCACAATGGCTGATGACCCTCCTCTGAATTGAGACCTTACTTTCTGATCCTTCTCCATCGCTTCCAAAACCGGCACTTTCCCCTTCGTAAACCAATCGAAATGGTGCAATGCCTTCACCTCAATTATAGCAGGCAACAAAGGATGCAAGGAAAACCATGCTTGCATTGGATAATAAGTCTTTCTATCAGTAATGATGTGGAGGACAACTTTTCCAGGCCTCAACGAGTTGCGCACGAGTGACGTGGCAACCACGGAGGCGGCAAGCACGTTGTCAGAGGCGAGGACAAAGTGGAAGTAGGAGTTGTCAACGAGGGCCGGGACAAGCTCTGCCGGGGGGAGCTGCAGGCGTGCATTTGCATTGGTGGTGTGCTCATTGGCTAGCCTTAAGGCTAAGCAATGAAGCTGCTTTGGTATGCTGCTCGACGCCACGTGGCGGTATAAGTATTCTTGGATTTTGGCTGTTCTAGTCCTTTGTTCAAGAAGGGTGACCTGAAATGTAAGTAAGGCTGGTGGGATTAAAATTCTTCTGTGTTTTGGCTACTTTTTGATTAGTTGAGATGTAACTTTCATTCTGGTGCAACCAAAAAGAAAAAAATGTGTTTCTTAACATTAAGATAAGTTTGAGGGTCAGTTTTGGAGTAGTATTGAGATTGTAAGACAAGTACAAAATCTACTTTTGGACCGTTTCTCAATAATTTGTAAAGAAACGAAAAACACATATAAAAAGTCATTTTCTAATGAAGTTTCCAATCTTCATAAAAATAAGCTTTTTTATTTCATTTTATTTTATTTTTTATAGTTTGTTGGTAAAAACCAACCACCAAAAACAAAAAGAGGGTTTATTTCACATTTAATTGTTTCTGAAGAAATGTTAATACAGGGTTTTTTTTTTTTTTTAAATAAAAAAAAGAGAAAAGTGTACCATTTCTCTAAGCTTTATAGCAAAGCTCTTTGCATCTATTTTGCTGTCCTTGATGTCAGCCATGAACTCTTCAAGAGTCTGGGGAATATCAGATCTTCCTTGTAATTCATCCTTACTGATGGGTTCTTCTAGTACTTCAAATATCACTTCTGGGACCTTGGAAACAAAAGAAACTTCAGTAAATAGAATTCAAGCAAAAAAAGAAAAAAAAATCCCAGTAAATAGACCAAAAAAAAAAAAAAAGAAAGAAAAAATACTAACAAATCTTCCAATGATGAATTTAATTAAAAAAAGTAATTACATATAGAGGATTAAGAGGTTACATTTGACTCGTGCCTTCTTCCCAAAATCTTTGGCCCTAGCTTTTTTCCCAAGCAACCTACCAAAAAAGAAAAAGAGAAAATATTTGAACTCAGCCTTTAACTAAAATATTAAGAAATTATATCAATATAGCTAACATTAATTTCTGCAGTTTTCTTTCTCAATCTTATTCTGTTGCAAAGTCACCGACCATGGCATTTTAAATTAATAACTTAATACATAATCATCTTGGGGCTAAATATATTTATCTATTCAAATTCCTAGATATATATATATATATATATATATATTTTTTTTTTCTTTCACATTGGGGGATGTGCTCAGAGAAGATTGTAACTGACAAGAAGAAATAAGTTTTAGACCAGCTATTGTCGTTTTGCAACAAATTGGTAGTTTTGAGGTGGAATTATTTTTTGTGTGCTATGTATTTTTTATTATCTTTTTATTATTTTTTTATTGTTAAATTACGTGGCTATGAGATTACATCCAACAAGCTGCTCTTTAGATCCCCTAAAAAAAAAAAAAAAATGGTGCTTAAGGAAATGCACCTTGCACGTGCTGCACGTCTGCACTTACCAGCAATTTTCTTTCAATCAGATTAGAAAAAAGCAGAATATTTGATCATTCTTCTATTACAAAATCAGAATTATATATATTTTTTATTCCCCTAGTAATGCAGATTCTCTATAAAAAGATGAGTATTAAACAATTATCTCTATGGATAAAACCATATGCTAAGTACCAAAATCTAAAAACTAACATGTAACAAATACTCTCAACATGTAATGCATAATACTTTGGACACTTTTTAACTTTATACCTTATGATTTACAAGTACTCTTGATCTGTTTCTTTTATAGATAACCTTTATTAATTCTCTAACATTGGAATTTGAAGGGTTTCTTGTTATCATGCCAAAGATTTCTTGATTCTTGTTATTCTTGCTGACACATTCTTACCCCACTAATAGTCTAATAATTAGATTAAGCATTGGCTTATGCATCACTAAAATACAATCAAATTCTAATCAGAAGAGAAAATGACAATGCAAACAACAATGGAACAAAATGGCCTAAGAAAGTATAACCTATTGAAGAGCACTTGGTTTCTCCATCAATGGTGTCAACTGCTGTCATGACAAACACAAACCGGAGAAGAAATGTGAAGAGCAAGAGGGCGTAGAAGAGCATTCGGTACGAAACCCGCCTCGACCCGACTTTCACTTTGATGAATTCTCTCACTCCTTTCCCTGGAAACACTGTGACATGCCTCAGACTAGGAGATATGTGAAGCTGCATTTTTCTTTTTTTTTTTCTTCCTTATGGTCCCCGAAGATCGAAAACTGATCACACCAAAAATGGTTAGTAGTGACACTTTTGGTGGTGATTTTCTTCTTTCTTGAGAAATGTTAGTTCATTTGGAAATTGGAAATGACCCCCAAAGAAGGACTGAGAAGAACTGGCAAAGAACCCATGAAGGGACATGCTGTAAAAGGAAGGTTTTGATGTTGTTTAAAGTAGCTATCTGTTACCTAACCTTGCTTAGCATTTGGGCTAGATATATCAGGGTGTTTTTCTTATGTTTGTTTTATTTTTATTTTTTGTTTTTTGGGTTTTGGGGTTTTATTAATTTAGAGGTGAAGAAAGTTGTTAAGGAGAAAGAGACATGAGACTGAGAGGAAAGGCTGTGTTTGTTTGTGGTTTTGAAATTTGGCTTGGTTTTGAAGGAGGGAACTTAGGAAAGAATTGAAAAATAAACATTTATAACTCAAAGAAAAAAAAGAGAAAGAAATAAGAAAAGGAAAAATATTAATAAAGGGAGTTTGTTTGGTGCTTGTTTGCTTGGCTTTGCCTCCACATGAAGTTTATAATTTTGTCGAACACAAATAAGACTTTGGACTTTGACGGAACATAGTTTCTAAATGGAAAACGACACTGCCTCTCTACGGTGTGTTGTTAGGACTTTTGTTGTTGGAGTAAAAGTACAGGAACATCTGATTCCGTTTCTGTTTCTTTACCAAAATCAATATGAGGTGTCTTAATAGTCTTGCCTAGTAACTGATTTGTGGGGGGGCATTTTTGCTATTTGTAATTTTTAATTTGCTTTGCCCATAAATATCAAAAGCAATGGTGATGCCAAAAATAGCATTTGATTCTAGACTTTGGAAAAAGATTATAATGATTTCTTTACCAAAATCAATGAGGTGTCTTAATAGTCTCCTAGTAGTAATTGATTTTGTTTGGGAAAAGCAATAGAAATGCCAAAAATAGCATTTGATTCTAGACTTTGGAAAAATATTATATTGATTTGTTACCAAAATCAATATGAGGTGTCTTAATAATAGTCTTGCCTAGTAGTAATTGATTTGTGGGGGGGTATTTTTGCTATTTGTAATTTTTAATTTGCTTTTCTCATAAATATCAAAAGCAATAGTGATGCCAAAAATATCATTTGATTCTAGACTTTGGAAAAAGATTATATGCAAGTGAGAGTTTTGCATTAGGTGTAAGTTATGATGACTTGAGTCACTTGTAGTTCATCAACTCATTCATAGGACATTGCAAGAAATAATGATCATGGCCAGTCAATCATAAGCTTCTTTTGTTAAGAGACAACGTACTTATTAGTTTAACATATGACATGAAACATGTGGAAGCTTTGTGAGGATTAATCCCAAATTCTGTTTCTTGTTAACAAAAGACACCACCAAAGACTTGCATCGCTTTTCATATCATACGTTTATGGAAAAAAAAAAAGAAGAAGAAGAAGAGAGAAATAGTAATGAATAAATTAAAACTACAAGTTGATTAACGTGGTAAATCTTCAATTCATCACTTATTGCTTTAGAAGGCAAACAAAGTATTTCAGACATCTCAGTAAGCTTCGAGTCAATTTAACTATCAACCTTTCTCGAACTCACTGGGGATTGCTTTAGGGAAATCAGATAAACGGACACATGATCAAGTGCAACATGTTTAGTTTCTTTTTCTCGATTTCCTGTTCAGTGTGATTAGTGGACTTAAATGAAGTTTTAAATAGGCATTGCAAATAATCATACTTACATCTCTTTGATAAGCCTTTTAAATAGAAAAATCAGTTATCAGTCATGTTTTCTCTATACAATGTAGGACTCAATTTGTTATGTTTTGACATAATAAATATACTAATTTTCTTATTAAATACATTCTTTTAACGTAAATTTGTAAATAAATTGGTTAATGGATTTTTTTAGGAAGGTAAATAATGGATTTGCTAAGTCAATAAATTAAAAATAAATTGGTAAATACAAGATTACTAAATGAAGAACGTATTTACTGTGTGTAAATAATGGATTTAGTAAGTAAATAAATTGTTAAATAATTGATTTACTATTATTTACTAATAACATGTATTTACTATGTAGCTAACAGATTCACTCACTATTGGCAAATATGGATTTACTAAGTAAACAACAGATTTACAAAGTAAATGTGGGAATTTTCTTACTAGTGGAATATGTAGATTTATTAAATAAATGGATAAACTTTAGAAAAATAATGAATTTACTAGGTAAAGTATTGGTAAATAATAGATTTACTAAGTAAGTAAATTAATAAATATTAGGCTAAGAAAAAAATTATAAATATTAGACATGAATTTATCTATAGGTAAATAAATTGATAAATAAGCTAGTTAATAAATACAAGATTTTCTTACTGTTTGAATTTTCTGTAAAATTTTTAACATACATATAAGGGTTAAAACTTTCTCATTCCTTTTGACAAGTGGCATAATAAGGAGGCTTCTCCTTCTTTTTGACACATAGGATGACATTTCACTTTTCTTGTTTTTTTTTTTATAAAAACATTTTACTGATTTTTCTCTTTTATTTTGTTTTTCAAGAGTTTCTCTGGCAGAATCAGAAAAAATAAATTACAGATAGTTTTTTTCTTCCAGCATAATAAAGCAATTACAAAATCAGTTTTTTTGAACTTCGAAGAAATTCATGCAAACTAATTGGCGTGAGGAACCAAGGCTTAATTTTAATTAATGGAAATAAAATATTTTCATATTACCCAGTACTATATACACTAAAATATTTTATTACGAAATTATAAATAAAAAAAGTTACAAAAGAAAATGAAAAAAATAACAACCAAAGATAACAATAACATATGAATAAGCTTTTTATCCCGATATATTTGCTTTTGTAACGAGCTTTTTAACTGTTTTCTCTATTTGAAGAGTTGTAGACAGATTATATACAGTTTTGGTCTCCCTCTTATTTTTTTTTTGTTTTTTTGTTTTCTTTTTTCGACTTCTAGGTTTGTGCAAAAAAAAAAAAAAAAAAAAAAAAAAAAAAAAAAAAAACCAAAGAGAACAATAACACTTAATTGATAGTGGGCTAGTGGCAATTTTGTAAATAAGATATAAAAAGGATGACTTATTATTGTATGGTTTTGTCTAATAAAAATAAGTTGACAAGTGACAAATAAAGTGACTACCATTTGAAATAGAGTCTGTATTTAGTAATTATTTAAAAATTTATAGTGCGTTATACAGAACTGATTTTGCTGCAGATTTAACTGTTAAAAAATTAATCTAACCATAAAAACACTTATTCTATCGGTGGAAGAAAATAGCCTGCTCCACCGCAAATACTTGTCAGTGAAAAAGAAGAAATGAAAGTTAAAATATTCGCCTTTGAGTAGACCCCTTGTGATTCAGCATCATATTTTTTCCCCTTAAAACATTTCTTGTGACAGATATGCTACAAAAGAGTGCATGTTTAAAATAAAATGAGCAAGGAAATTTCGCTTAAATTAACCTTCTTCAAACGTTTATTAGTTTCTTTATTTGCATGGGGATATGTGCTTACATGGATTGTTTCTTGACTTCTGTCATCACATGAAAAAAAAACGAGTTTTCAGAATAACTTCTACAAGCCATCTTGTTTAATTCTGCCTTATTTTTTTTTTTCTTTGGATCACTCTTTTCTTCAAAGGCTTTCACCATTTGTGTTCTAGTGGAGTCATCTGAGAAAAAATGGAAGATCGCCTAGAATTGAAGTGAAAATGTGAGAGGTGGAGGAGTTTGTGAACAAGTTCAACTCAGCACAAGCAATTATTGGTAGCTGATGATAAGAGGTTTTGCGGTTGTCTCTGCCTCTACATTTGGCGAATTCGACTCGGCAAGGAATTCTCCAATATGATTGAAAGAGTTGCAAGGATTTGGTGTGCTGTGCTAATGGGCGTAAAGATAATGCCTATACACTTTTAGAGTGCGTTTACTTTGCATCAAAGAGAAATGAAAAGAGAGAATTCTCTTTCTCATCTAATAATGTGTTTATTTACAGAATTTATAATGGAGACTTAGTGGGCTCCACACAATATAAGGAAGAAAAAAAGAGAATGTCAATCCTTACATTCCCTTGGTATTGATTTCTTGTCAAAGAGAAGGAATGTCTATTTAGTTTATCTTGTTAGAAATCAATGATTTAGTGAAAATCATCACCCAAAAGCCAAGAAACATTCATATTAGATCATTAAGAATTAATAAATCTGTAAATGGAAGCGTACCTGAATCCATATTGACTGATTTCTCTCTAGAGTCGTGCAGTTTGTCTTCCAGATCAATACGTTTTCATAGAGAACCTTTTAACTTTCTCTTTGTATTCTCTCTGATGATGGGATGTCAGAATGAATCAAATGTTATGTGTGATCTGAGGACCATAATTGCGATTTATTGATAACTTCCCTGTTATCTTTTAGTATTTCTATTTTAGCCCATCATAAAAATAGAAATTACTCTAAAGTCTCTACACATTAAAGGCTCACACCTTATTAGATACATTAAAACCCAATATACCCAAACCTTAGTAGATCACTTTTAATTGGGTTTAATCTTATATGACAACCCGCAACACATAATTATTCATATATAAGCCCAACATTAAATTAAAGATCTAACATATCTACCTTTAATAAATTATTATATAATCAATGCTTATTTGATTGCGTAAAGGACTTAATAGTGATTACATTAATAATATTCTATTCATAATTTTAGTAAATACTAGAAAGGGAATGAGCTCGTTTTTCATTACACCATTTAATAATCAAACAAACACTTAAAAAGAGAATCAATAACCCTCAATCTTAGTACTTTAATTACTTTCCAATCTCATCACCTTTCTCATTACATTCCTTTACGCTTTAGTAAATACACGCCCTCAAAGCGGAGTTATTTCTCATTGGAAGGTAAAAGCATCAAAGCTTGTTTCTCATATTGTGCTTTGTCTGCTGAGAACTTCTCAATCATAATAAGCCAATTGCGCAGTGTTGGCTCGCAGAAAGTTTGATAGACGAACAAAAGAACTTGGACGAGTAAGTCAACATTAATGAAGTTGCAGTGATTAAAACTCTCAAGGACTTGTTATGAAGATGCATGATGGAGTTTATGATCGCATTATCACAAGCTGCAATC